GTTGCCTGGTCAGAGAAGGTTGTGAAGCCTTCCCTGATCCCACAGGCGTAATCAGATGCTCTCTCTCTAAGGTGTTTCCATATCTTGAGGCGTGGCTCCAGGTCTTTGAATATGCCTCTGGTTGTCTTTTTGGTGGTGACTTGTCCTAGTTTGATGTGCATCTCCATATTATCCTATTTAAAATCTCTATACTGTATATCTTTCCACAACCTTAAGAGGAACTCAGAAAATATTTTTTCTTTTACCTAAATAACTGATTCAAAGCCACTTGACTGTTTTTTTGAGCTTTAGCCTTGTTTCAATCTATTAATGTTTTGCACAATTTCTGATTTTAGGTAAGGCTTTTAGAGTTTTATTCAGTTGGTTCATATTCACATTCATCTAATGTTCCAGTTCTAGGACTTTTTTATTTTGGGGGCTTAAGTTCCTCTTTCAATTATCAATTAACTGCCTCATTTCCTCTTATACTGGCCTTTGTATCGCTCTTGCTACTTGTGTTGCTTACTTCTTCCTTCTTCACATGGGATTCTTTATTATTTTTTAAACATATATATTTTTATTGATTTCTGAGAAGAAGGGAGAGGGAAAGAGAGAGAGAAACATTGATGATGAGAGAGAACAATTGATTGCCTCCTACATGCCCCACACTGGGGATTGAGCCCACAACCAGGGTATGTGCCCTGACCGGGAATCCAATCATGACCTCCTGGTCGACCTCAACCACTGAGAAACATTGACCTGCCCACACTGGGTTCTTCATGTTAGGGTTCATAATATGAAGTCATGGTAGGGTACATAATCTTGGTGTTATGTGAAGTGACACCCGCTAAGTCTTCTTCCTTCTGTAACTGGGCCAGTAATCTTAGAACATGGCTCTCCTAAAAAGATGACCTAATTCTGGTACTGACCCTTCCTAATAACCCTGTGCTATTCTCTTCCAATATAGCCTGCGTTGATCTCTGCCTTTCTGATAAGGAATTGTCCTTGTGAAGACACACAGGCCTGGTTGAGTCCTGAACTGTGAATTTACATGTTTTTGTTCCTGTTTTTCCTTTGGCTTCATAAAACAAATCATTCTTTTCCTCACTGGGAGTTTCTTACTGGATTTAAAGAAACCATGAATAATCATGCATGCCACCCCAGTGTTTTTCTAAGTAAACTCTGTATAATCAATTTCTGCAATTCCTCTCAATCCACTGCAATGTCTAAATTCTTCAGACTCTTGAATGTCCTCCCATAGATTAATCTGGTATCATTTTCAGGAGTGATTTTGGTGGCTGAGATGAGAGTAAAATGTGGAGTTTATTGATTAAAAAAGGGGTAGACTTGCAAGTTATTTCACCAACATATGGATGACAATACCTACAGGACTCCGCCTACCATTTTGAATAACAGGAGACATTCACTATTTTCTACAGCCTCATTCCTCTGCTGAGCTCTCTCTTCTCACAAAGGCTCCTACTTATTTTTAAAAAAATATATTTTATTGATTTTCTACAGAGAGGAAGGGAGAGGAATAGAGAGTTAGAAACATCGATGAGTGAGAAACATCGATCAGCTGCCTCCTGCACACCTCCTACTGGGGATGTGCCCGCAACCAAGGTACATGCCCTTGACCAGAATCAAACCTGGGACCTTTCACTCCACAGGCCGACGCTCTATCCACTGAGCCAAACCAGTTAGGGTGAGGCTCCTACTTATTAATTCATTCTTCCTCTCATAGTTCCCCCTAAGTCACAGGGGTCATTGGAGTAATGGTGTGTGGTGGTTCTGATGTTGCTGCTCCCCATCAGCCTGCTATTTTCCTCACCCTTCCTGGATCAGACCTTGGCTGGCCATCAAACCATGTGGTCCCATTCCTCGTGGCAGGAAGCCTCTCCTTGCTTTTGGCTGCAGGGCCTCGGCCCCATCGTGACATGGCACCCTAGAGTATGCTGTTCAAAATATTCCCTGCTGAGCTTGTTCCCTGTGGCCCCAATAAGAGGCAGAGACCTTGTTAAACATTTGTTTGAAGAGGAGGCAGAAGTACTAATTGGTGTCTGGGTAGTAGAAACTTCACTTAGGATCCCTATAGGCAATGCCTGAAAAGGTGCCTATTAAATACTCTGTTTTGGGGACCTGACTGATAGCTTAATTTCTCATCCATCTGGTGAGTAATGGCTAAGAGTAGGCCCAAAGAAGAGAGATACATACAGGCTCCATCACAAATAGCTTTCCTTCAACCTTTCCTGATCTGATAATCTTATAGGCTATTTGGAGTGGAAATACATGGTCTTGATATCATTATGGAAAACCAGAAATACTACCAATATTCTGCACATCATCTGAGGTCTGTTTGGACCTTTTGTTATACAGATACAGGTAAGGGAGGGTCCAGGTGTGTGAGATTTCCTTCCTCCAAAACAGGAAAACATCTTTCAAGTCCCTGCTCAACAGTCAGCTATTTGTAAATCTGCTCTTTGGAGCCCACAGGGTGAGTTACGGGGAAGTATTTATGGAGGCACCTAAATCAGTGTCCCAGATTCCTATGGTTCCAGGACCCCTTACCTCTCTTTACCTGCTTCTCTGACGGAGGTAGAGGAGCTGAGTGTACTGGAGCAGAGTTTTCCTTATTATTACAAGGTTATAATAAGGAACATTTGCTGGGTCCTGAGGGAATAGTTGGGCCATCAGGTGTGATTACTTATTACATTGTTCGGAAGGTGGGCTGAGGCTTCAGGTTGGTCCAGCTTTGAAGATAATTTGAAGCTGATGCTCAGGTGATCAGAGCCACATTTCTTGACACCCTTCACCTCCCCACTCAATACTATATTCTGGGGGTGCTGGGGACACATGCGGTTGGGAGGAAAGATGGGAGCAGTGTGAGGGAAATAAACCTGTGCTATTCTCTTCCAGTATAGCCTGTGTTGACCTCTGTCTTTCTGAGAAAGAATTATCATTGTGAAGACACACAGGTCTAGCTGAGTCCTGAACTATGAATTTGCAGGTTTTTGTTCTTGCTTTTCCTTCGGCTTCATAAAACAAAGAAAGAAATAATTGCACCTGATATCCCAACTATTCCCTTAGGACCCAGCAAATGTTCCTTATTATAATCTTGTATATTAAGGAAAAAAGAATGATTTGTTTTATGGAGTGTTTTTGACTGGATTGCTCCAGGTTACTACTATACTGACATCTGCCCAGAGGATAAATCTCTTATGTTTTGTTAAATAAAATGCATTGTTTCAGAATCTCTAAATTTTCTGTTTTTCTTAAACAGATTTATCCTAATGCATCATTTCTTTCTTTTACTTCAATGAAAATTATACCATTTTCAGAATTTGATAAAGAATTTATGCATTTATATCTCATGGTATTCTCACAATGATCCAGTGAGGTAGGTATTTGTATAATCATTTCACCTGTGAGGAAACTTGAAAGTTGATGCTTTGCTTAAATTCACACAGCTGATATATGCAGAAATATTACCTGGCTCAGGATCTTGACTCCTAGTCCAGAGTTTGTTCCATGACTCAGAACTGTAGGTCCACTCAGCTCTCCCATCTTCCAGCTCTCATGCCTTCTGCTGTCATCACATAGTGTTTTTAGGAGCTGTGGTTGACAATATTGGGCAATAATCCCATGGTTTCTCATGGAGAAGGTTATTGGCTATTTTAAAGCTGTGCTATTTCTTTTTTTCTTTACAAACTTCTGATTTTCCCCCTCATGTTTAGAGACCTTTTCTTGTTGTCATCGAAACTGTGGGATCAACTCAGCTGCACGTTTCCCACTTGGAATGTGAATCACTTATGTTACAATCCAAAGTCCTCTCAGACCCTGGCCCAGGTCTCTGTGTGTCCTTGTGTTTTTCTTTCATATGAGAGAACTGTGGTCTTGGAGGTATTAGGGGGTGTTGGGGAGCCATGTGATGCCTAAATCACTCCTTAGCTATTTGATTCCTTTACTGCTTACCCTTGGCCACAGGTCCTGAATGTTCTTTCTTGGCCCTGCAGCAGTCACTGCTAACATGGAGACAGGATGATGACTTTCTAGCTCAGGGATCAGTGGTTGTAAGTTCTTGTCTGATTCTGTCACAAACTAGATCTGGGACTGTGGGCCATAACTTCTTTCTAGAGTTTAGTTTTCTGACTTTGCAAAGTGATGATTGGGGAATAGTATATGTTGAGAATCTGAATAATTTCATACACATAGTGTAATTACATGGAAAATGGAACTGGAGGAAATATCTGCCAATTTCCCCTCCTGTTCTCAATAATGTGGCTGTGATACAGAATTCTTTGGCTTTTATGTGGTTGTTATTACCAAGACATTCTGTTTATTTCAGGTCACCGCAACTCCGAACTTGGTGTCTACACCTGTACAACAGCACCTTGAAGGAGAGGGAGATACAGGAGGTGGTGAATCAGATAGCCATTTAGAGATACTGGAGAGAGAAACAAGATATGCATCTATGAAATGACTGGGGAATAATCCAAGGAAGAACCTGATTGTTATTGAAGTCATTAAGCACCATGTAATCTGTAACCTGGCAGTCAAGTGAAGTTTGGGGAAGCTGGATGTCTTCAAATTAAAGAAAATTTCCAGATATTGGGATCTTGGGCAGTTTCAGAACTTGGGACTATGAGCATGAGAGGAAAATTTCTTTTTAACATCAGCTCCTGAGCATTTAAATCTGGTTATGTGAATTGTCCCAGATTATAGATGTATTAGGATATCTAATACTGGAACCTGGTTTCTGAACTTCTTGTCCAGTGTATTTCCACTGGACCCAGTTGTCTTGCCTCTTCTGTGTTTTAAGATCTTGCAGAAATATTGACTAAGTTGAAAATTATTTTTGACTGTTTTCTGAGAAGTATGGGGAAAGAGTGATGGTGATGGTGGTGTTAGTGAGACCACACTAGTATATCCTGAACTTCCAACCCTTATATCATTGAATTTAACCTGCTACTTTTCTTTTTTTTTTTCAGTGGTTCTTTGCTCTTCTGAGTGAGGTGATCACCATGATTCTTTCCAATACTTCTTATCTCTTCCCACACACTTTCTTCTTGGCTGGCATTCCAGGACTGACTGCCGCACACATTTGGATCTCACTTCCGTTTTGCTTCATGTTCTTCCTGTCAGTGTCTGGGAATGGTGTTCTGCTCTTTCTTATTCGAACAGAACGCTGCCTTCACCAGCCCATGTTTTTCTTTCTTGCCATGCTCTCCTTTGTCGACCTGGTTCTTTCCCTCTCCACTCTGCCCAAGATGCTGGCCATTTTCTGGTTTGGCGCTACAGCCATCAGCTCCCACTCCTGTCTTTCCCAGATGTTCTTCATCCATGCATTCTCTGCCATGGAGTCAGGAGTGCTAGTGGCCATGGCCCTGGACCGCTTTGTGGCCATCTGTAACCCACTGCGTTATGCAACCATTCTTACGCCAGTTGTTGTGGCCAAGATTGGAGGCCTAGTGGTGCTGCGAGGTGTGGGGTTGACCATCTCCTTTCCAAGCCTGGCCCATCGGTTGCCCTATTGTGGTTCCCACACAATTGCCTATACCTACTGTGAGCATATGGCGGTGGTGAAACTGGCCTGTGGGAACACCACTGTGGATAACCTCTATGCCTTTGCCGTGGCAATCTTTCTTGGTGTGGGGGATGTGGCCTTTATTGCCTACACCTATGGGCAGATTGTGAGGACCGTAATTAATTTTCCTTCATCCGAAGCACGTGCTAAAGCAGGCAGCACGTGTACTGCTCATGTCTGTGTTATCCTCTTCTTCTACGGCCCAGGCTTTCTTTCTGTGGTCATGCAGCGCTTTGGCCCACCCACAGCCTCTGCTGCCAAGGTCATCCTTGCAAATCTCTACTTGCTCTTTCCCCCTGCGCTGGACCCCATTATCTATGGGGTCAAGACCAAGCAGATCCGGGAGCAACTGTTTAAAATTCTAACCCCCAAGAGAATTGATCCCACCTGATTATAGTTCTCATCATCTGGACCTCAAGGACCAGGATGACCACCCCTCTGGGGTGGGAGACCCACAGCTCAGGTTATTTACCTGGTGAGGACAGTGAAGGGAAAGCAAATAATATTGTCCTGAGTATTTGGAAGTTGGGAAATCTCTTCTGAGGTCTATGGTGTTTAGATATTGTGATGGAAAATTGAGAAGGGCTGGGTATCTCAACTGATCAACCAACAAATAAATTTTGATACCCTTTTCTTCTAAAAGCTTATGATCTACTGTGTTGATAAGATAAATGCATCATGTAATGAAGAAACAATTAGGACTTTGACAAACATGAATCAAGTGACTTAGGAGTTCAGGAAGAGATGAACTGGGTGCCAATTTTAAACATATGAAAACGAGGGCCACTTTTCACCACATGACACTGATATATGAAAAGTTGTGGGAGTGGAGAGGCTCTCTCATCAGAAAAATTTTGGCATCACAGAAAAAGGGTTCAAAAATTATGGAGATACTTTAGAGTATCCAGTTTATGAGAGAATCTCCTTATATAGTCATGTTCCTTCTCACTCCAGAATTGCAGCTAAGGCTTTAATTTATTCCATGTATTTTTTCAGCCTGGTTTTGAGTGAATGACCCTTTATATATTATGTAGTTTTATGCTCTAAGAGTAATAATAATCCTTTTATTTCTTCACTTTTAGTCTCAGGCACAGAGATCTGAGTTCAAGTTTGTTGCACACAACAATAATTGTTTTAACTTATTTTTTTTTCTGTCTTCATTCCTAACTCTCTTGCTCATTTTCTTCTGGTTTCTACCAATGGCACTCATTTTAATATGTTTGTTTGTTCTGAAGTATTTACATGTCCTTGCAATATATGTAGTATTGATTAAGTGTTATGTATTCCTAATATAAATAAATACCCCTCTTTAGTTCCTCAGGTGTCCATGCTTCCTCCAGCCATGGGTATTGTGGGTTATTTCTAATAGAAATGCATATTTCTATCCTTATCCTCACCATGCCTACTCATTTTGAACTTCAGTTCAAACTTCACCCCCTTGAAGATTTTTAAAATTAGATCAGTCACTTGTTTTCTGAACTGAGAGCTCTGTGTATATTTACCAGTAAATAAATCTCATTATTTAATAGACTGTGTCATTTTAGCATATTTCCTTATCAGTCACATTGACATATGTATGTTTTGAAAATATGAATATGTAAATGTCCAAAGTGTAACACAGTAGGTACTCAATAAATTTTTATTGAAAAAATGAAATAATTTGTCACAAAAATACCTTTGCTATCGCAATCACTATTAACACTCTTGTCTTCACTGCTGTCATCATGACTAACACCACTTTCGCTTAGTCTTTTCTAATGGTGTAATTTCAACTGGTGGTATTTTGGATGCTGTGCAGATACAGTAGAGGTCATGGTTACTCTTACAATGAAGACTCATTGCTTTGTGTGAGCATAGAACAAATAGAGAACTAGCACTTGCCTTCCTTTTCATTCTTCGTTTGCTCCCCCTTCCTTCATTATTTTCTTCCTTGTCCTGAGTATTTATCAGGCTCTCAGTGTGACAATGAAATGAAGTTGAACATATAGAAATTATGATGAAATGTGATAGTGCTGTGGTAGAGATTGGGTCCAAATCCTAGGGGACTAGTTCTCAACAGGAGGTAATGTGCAGGAATGGGACATGAGTCGGGTCTGGTTGAAGTGATAGTATAAATGATCAGGGCTTAGAAGACAAGGGGCCTGGGTTATTGAGTGGGTAGGAGGTGGGTCTGGGCTAAATCTTTCCCTGAGCAGCTTCTGCTCTATGCCATACTCTATTGTCCCTCTTTGCTCTGTTAAATATTAATCTTCAATATTAGTAGTGAGAAGATAGCTCTTCAAAGAAAAGGCAAAAGTGGACACTCCTCACCAACTTTTACCTGTGCTTCATGGGCAGTGAAGTTGAAGTGGAAGAAAGTTCTGCAGGAGAGGGGGAGCAGCGACAGGATTGCAGAGGAAGATTCCTCAGCGGGTGGAGGATGAAGGCTTAGAGGTGTCTAGGTGCTTTTGGCCAAACTAGTTTTGAACAATGTTAGTCTGAATATATCTTATTAGCATAACACTTCATGACATGAGTCGCTCCTGTTGTTCACCTCTTACTCTATGGTACCGTGAAAACTTGACAAGAAAATGCTGCACATAAACTCTCATTTAATGCCCACAAATTCAAATGAAGAGGATGTTTTCATTATTTTCAATTTTTGTTCCTCTCATGAAAATCTTATACTTTCTACTGACTGGGGACCATTTATTTTATCGCACCTCTTCTACCTGTTTTAGTAGTAAGTTCACTGTTTTGTTCCCAAATGAAATTTTTAATTTTTTTTTCTTATAAAACAGACCAGCAAACAAACAAACACAGACTGGTGCTTTTGAGGTTCATGTCATTCATATATTTTATCCACTACCTCTCCCACTTATGGAAATATCTCCTGGTTGTTCTCCTTCATTAAATGATAACTTGGTCAGTACCCTGTACTGTACTTTTTGGCCACCTGTGATCCTGGTGAGGACTTCATTATCTCATTGATTTTTTTTTATTCTTGATTTCTTTCCCCCTAAAGATCCCTTCCTCATACCCATTCCCAAGGCATATACTCTAACCTCTTGAGAGATCACTGTATTTGTTTCGAACAGTTCTCCCAGCATCTGTGCTTCACTCTTTTCTATCCATACATCCAGCATGACATTTGACAATGAAATTCTGATTGTGTCTCACTCTTCTGCTTAAAATCCTAACAACTTTGCATTGCCCTTTCACATGACCTACAATGTGCATGCTAAGCTTTCTGCTTACACTCTAGGCTCAGTTCCTGGTACTGCAATCCCAAATTTCACTATTCTATCAGGTCTTTGACAATGTCAAGTTCCCTTCCCTGCAGCATCAGGGATTTTGTATCTACAGCATACTCCCACATCTCTCTTCACTTTTAACCCATTCTTCTATCACTAACTTAAATGAGGGAGGACTTTCCTGGACTCCCCAGACTGAGAAGGTTTTTCTTTTATGTGCTTTATCACACTGTAGTTTTAATTTATGACGCTTATAATTGTTATTAGGTATCAGTGGTTACATACTTAACATATATCATTCCATGAGCTATGATGACAATGGACATTTGTTATATTGATTGTTTTTTTTTCTGACTAATTTATGACGCTTATAATTGTTATTAGGTATCAGTGATTACATACTTAACATATGCCATGAGCTATGATGACAATGGACATTTGTTATACTGATTATTTTTTTCTGATATTTAGCAGAGTACATTGATTTGCTAGATATTTAATATCCATTGAATGAAAAATGAGAATTCCCACAATCTGTGAATGAAATACTTGTTGAATAGATGAATAAATAGACTGTGCATTTGAAACACTATTCCAAAGGAGAAATGTGGCCACAAGGGTGAACTGGTAGCTGCTTTATCAGGGATAGGACTAAAGGAAAGATTTCCTTGCCTATGGGAAAGTAGGTCTTAGCCCATCTCTTTGGAAACTTGCTGAGATGGATAATCTGAGAGTCTATATTCACCTCATATCTGCTATGGTACACTGGACTTGATGTCCATAGACCTGCCACAATCCACCAGAAGGGAAGCAGAGAGCTCAATTAACCTGAGACAAGTGTCATTTATTTTAGGTTGGATTCTCTAGAAATAGACTCTGAGGCAGATATTTGCATGCAAGAAGCTTATTGTAAAGTAGACTTGGGAATGACACTTGTCAAAAGGGGGGAAAACAGGATGAACCAGAGAGAGAAGTTAAACTATGATCCAATTTCCCCAGAGTCTGAGCTGATTATAGGGTAGGTTCTTGAGGGGAATGGTTTTTCAGTGATGTTTCATATAGAAGAAAGAGGATCAGGTCTTTGTATTCCTATATAGAACCGTCAGTGATTGAGAGCTACACTCAGAAAGGAACAGTAGTCTTGGATAATGCAGCTCTATTTGTCCAAGAGAGAGTGACTCAATTATGAGCTTTTGGTAGCCAACACTCACAGCAGATGGAGAAATGAACACATTTAACCCAGAATTCACTAAGGAAATTTTTGGAAAGAAGTAAGACTGTCAATCTTTGCACACAACAACAACAACAACAACAACAACAACAACAACAACAACAACAACAACAACAACAACAACAACAACAACAACAACAACAACAACAACAACAACAACAACAACAACAACAACAACAACAACAACAACAACAACAACAACAACAACAACAACAACAACAACAACAACAACAACAACAACAACAAACAATCCCATTCACAATTGCTTCAAAAAGAATAAAATACCTAGGAATAAATTTAACCAAGGATGTAAAAGACCTATACTCAGAAAATTATAAGACATTGAAGAACGAAATTGAAGAGGATACAAATAAGTGGAAGCATATAGCATGTTTATGGACAGGAAGAATTAACATCACTAAAATGTTCATACTATCCAAAGCAATCTATAGATTTAATGCAATTCCTATCAAAATACCAATGGTGCATTTCACAAAACTAGAACAAATATTCCAAAAATTTATATGGAACCACAAAAGACCCATAGCCATAGCAATAGTGAGAAAGAAGAACAAAGTTGGAGGAATTATGCTACCTGATATCAAATTACAATAGAAGGCCATAGTAATCAAAACAGCATGGTACTCACATAACAACAGACATGTAGATCAATGGAACAGAATAGAGAGCCCAAAAATAAATTCACACCTTTATGGTCAATTAATATGTGACAAAGGAGGCAAGAACATACAATGGAGGAAAGAGAGTCTATTCAATACATGATGGTGGTAAGATTGGAAAGATACATGCAAAAATAATTGATATTAGACCTCCTTCTTACACCATAGATAAGAATACATTCAAAATGGATTAAAGACTTATAGGTTAAACTCGAAACTATAAAAATCCTAGAAGAAAACACAGGCA